TTGTTTTTTCCCTTTAGACCTCACTTCTCTCACATGTTCTTGTAAACAGCTTTACTGACTGGATCGCCAAACGACACACCTGGAAAGCAGTGCTGTAGTCAGACTTAGACCAACATAGACAGCCCGTGGAGCCAACAGAGCAACTCCCTAGCCGTTCTCCCTACTGTATAACCATGACTAATGCTGTATAGTCACATCAGTATTGTCAGTATAGAGCGATGTGTCTGCTAAAGCTCTGAGGCTACTGATGCTGTTATGTGTGATATGCTAACTAGTTGTTGTCATGCTGATTTAAATCTGTGAGGAGGGATGGCATGACTAAAGGAAGCCTGACCCCATGGAGCCAGAGGCCCGAAGGCAAACCTCCAGCCTGACCCCCCTACTCCTACCCCTGTCCCAGCCTAACCCCTCTACTTCTACCCCTGTCCCAGCCTAACCCCTCTACTCCTACCCCTGTCCCAGCCTAACCCCTCTACTCCTACCCCTGTCCCAGCCTAACCCCTCTACTCCTACCCCTGTCCCAGCCTAACCCCTCTACTCCTACCCCTGTCCCAGCCTAACCCCTCTACTCCTACCCCTGTCCCAGCCTAACTCCTCTACTTCTACCCCTGTCCCAGCCTAACCCCTCTACTCCTACCCCTGTCCCAGCCTAACCCCTCTACTCCTACCCCTGTCCCAGCCTAACCCCTCTACTCCTACCCCTGTCCCAGCCTAATCCCTCTACTCCTACCCCTGTCCCAGCCTGACCCCTCTACTCCTACCCCTGTCTCAGCCTGACCCCTCTACTCCTACCCCTGTCCCAGCCTGACCCCTCTACTTCTACCCCTGTCCCATCCTAACCCCTCTACTATTACCCCTGTCCCATCCCAGCCCACTGCCCTAGCCCCAGGCTAACCTTAACCCCCTGCCCCAGGCCACTGAGACCACTGACCCAACCTTACACCCTTCTGGAACCAGGCCCCTTACCCCTAACTTACATCTTTACAGCCAGGCAGACTCCCAGCCCTGACCCCCCTACCCCTTCCCTTCTCCAGCCTAATTGAGCAGGCGGGCTCCCAGCCCTAACCCCATGGAGCCAGTTAGACCCAGGCTAATCTTACAGCCTCCTGCTGGCCCAGTCGTCCAGCCTCCTGACCCCCCAACCCAGCCCAGGCTATTAGCCAGGGCCAGCCAGGCATGCTGATGCTCAGACAGGTCTGACGTACAGGAGAATGCTGCCTTTCTCTATACACATTCAGAAATAACTACACAAATACATATTATTTACCGTAGCCCATAATGTATATACTAAAACAGCCTCAGCCAAATAACCACAGTCCTACGGAATCCTCGATCATGGCTCATGTTATCCCCCTTTGACCAATGACCATGTTTATTACCTCCTTTAGTTTAGCTCATGATTCAGAGAAAATCCACTTTGATTTAAGGGTAATCATTTAACAGGGCTGTGCTGCTGACCATGCCCAATATTACACTCTACTCTGCTTCTGACCAGGCCCAAGGCTATATTACAATATTATATAGATTTAAAAACTACGGCTTCGAACCATGCCCAATATGAGTTATCACAAATGACTGCTTCAGACGATGTCCAGAAACCCCTCAGAGGGAAATTAGCATATACTTTCTGCTTTATGTGCCACTGCGATGCTCTGTTCTGTCGACATCATGACATTACAGCATGCTGGCCAGACAATCAGACACTATGAATTCCAGCAGTATTATGATGGTAACCTCAAATTATAATGGGGACTGTGTTGGACTGAGTGGGACTGGGTCGCTGCTTTGCTGTTATGTAACTGTGTGGGACTGAGAGACTGTCTGAATGGGTTTGGGCCTAATGCTTTCTACAGCCTGGCTGGATGGATTACACTAAAACAGGAGAGCAGCTACAGAACTACTGATATCTATAACAGAGACATCTCAGACAGAGTGAAAGAGCAAGAAAGAGAGAGAGAGATTTAGAGATGGGACAGAGAAATAAAGGACACACCCACCCGGCCAAGGCCCTGAGAACAACAGCTGAGGAGCCCTTGTCTATTTCCACACCTCCAGGTTTCCCCCTTTAGCTCTGGTGGTGTGAGGGCGTGGGACCACCCCTGCCACACACACACCTGTCCGAACTCTCCCACCATCATCAGACCCCCCCAGAGAATAACCCCCCACCCTCTCCAGTTGCATCCCAACATAATGCAGGCACAGCCCCAGACTTGCCACAGCACATGCTCCACAGCTCTAGCCATGCACACTGCACAGAGTCAGGGTGGGCAAAAGGTTAAATATAGACTAATGGGCAATCTTATCAGGTGGTCTCACTTTTCATTCCAGATACAATTCCCTGAAAGAGGAAGTCACCCACTAAGACCCCCTCCTCAGCAACCTGGTCTCAGAGCATTTCGTATTATTCTGTCCGTAAATCCAAGACACTCCATTTAGTATGATATATTACATTTCATATGGTATGTATTAATTTGTGGATGTCCATCATCCATTTCTTATGATATGTTATGAATTACAATTCATATGATATGTTACGAATTTGCAAAACATACAATATGTTGTAAATTTGCTAAACGTATGATATGTAACAAATTTCAATTTGTTGTGGCTAACGTTAGCTAGGTGGCTAGGTGGCTTAGCATTAGCCAGCTGGCTAACGTTAGCTAGGCTAGGGGTTAGGGGTTAGGGTTAAGGTTAGGAGTAAGGTTAAAGTGTTAAGGTTAGGGTTAGGGTTAGGGGAATGGTTAGCTAAAAGAGTTAAGGTTAGGGTTAGGGTTGGCTAACATGCTAAGTAGTTGCAAAGTAGCTAAAAAGTAGTAAGTAGTTGAAAAGTTGCTAGTTAGCTAAAGTTGTCCATGATGAGATTTGAACAATCAACCTTTGGGTTGCTGGACGTTCGTGTTATACACCCAACCAACCACCCTCTTCTCGTTTTTGCCTTAGGTAACCTTCAGTGTTATGTAACCATACCAAACATATCATACTAATTTGGGGTGCTCCTGGTTTACTTGTACTATGTTACGTCTAGTTTATGAGACCAGGCTATCCGGAGAGAGGTAACCTCGTCCCCAGGCTATTGCGCACAGCGCGTGGAATCGAGATTATTTTTTACAATCCATTCTTTCTTATCCCTTCCCTTCCTTTCAACTGCACAGTGGAACAAGACGTGCTGTGTGTGGAATACCAAATATAGATATATTAATTTTTTCTCGGATTGGATAGGCTACTGGTTTTCAACTCTGTTATTTTCAATGGATAAAGTTGTAGTCTATTGAAACGCTTTCTAGAATTTCTACCGTTGCCAAATCGTCCTTTGGATAAAAATGAGCACTTGATGGAAATTGGACTATAAGGAAATGAAGAACCTTGATTTCTTCGATTTGAAGGATTGCGAGGTAAATTGACAGTTATAGCTCCCAAATGAAATGGTTATCCTACTATTCATATTATGGCCGGGGAAATTGATGTCAAATTGCCGCAAGATGCTCAAATGTATTTAAACTATGTACGTCCATGCAATGTAAAGTTGTAAATTGGATCATATATATTGATGCATTTACGCACAGAGGAAAACGTATGCTTGTCTTCAATTTCATCACTCTCTGTGGCAGCTGGTTTTGCAGTCAGTCAAAGAATAGTTAGTATCAGCATCGGGTCAAGAGTGTTAATAGTCAGAGAATGATGGTTAACTGCTTGGCTGTGGATTAGTAGAGGAAAGGTTCTATGAAGCCTACTCGCGCATAAAACATAGGAAACAGTTGGCGCTTCTGCTCGCGGATGGTGTAAATTATTAGTTGCTGAATTTAGATAGCTCGTTCTTCTCCTTTGTGAACATTACTGTTTACATATATTCACATACTTTGAAATGCAAGAGCAATGTCAAAGATAGCTGGTCAAGACGTTAGAATAACCAGACTCAGACTGTAATTTGCACGGGAACGTCAGCACATGCCTTGAGAGTGTGTCAGTGCTGTGTCAGTGCCATCATGCCCTCTGTAGAACACTGGCCAATTGAACACAATTATTGACCCAGAGTGTTTAGGAATGCAGAAACTGTAGCTGCATTAGGTCACACTTTATTTGGATAGTCCGGATGTAGATACTCTACAGATGGTCATACTATCAACCAGTGATGTAAAGTACTTAAGTAAAAATACTTTAAAGTATTACTTAAGTAGTTTTTGGGGGTATCTGTACTTTACTTTACTATTTATATTTTTGCCAACTTTTACTTCACTACATTCCTAAAGAAAATAATATACTTTTTACTCCAAAAGTAATCGTTACATTTTGAGACGAAAATTGTCTAATTCACACACTTATCAAGAGAACGTCCCTGGTCATCCCTACTGCCTCTGATCTGGCGGACTCACTAAACACAAATGCTTCGTTTGTAAATTATGTCTCGGTGTTGGAGTGTGCCCCTGGCTATTCATCAATAAAAATAAAAATAAATAACAATGCCGTCTGGTTTGCTTAATATAAGGATTTTTATATGGTTTATACTTTTACTTTTGATACTTAAGTACATTTTAGCAATTCCATTTACTTTTGATACTTAAGTATATTTAAAACCAAATACTTTAGACTTTTACTCAAGTAGTATTTTACTTGGTGACTCACTTTTACTTGAGTCATTTTCTATTAAGGTATCTTTACTTTTAAGTATGACAATTGAGTACTTTTTCCACCACTGCTATCTATCAACAAACTGTCTGTTGATAAGCAAATGCTTGCTAAGGTTAGGGTTAGTCTTAAAATAAGGTTTAGGGTAAGGGTTAAGTTTAGGGTCAGGATAAGGGTTAGGGCTAGTGTTAGGGTTAGTAGATAGTTAGTTGAAATGTTACTGATAGTCTGTAGATAGTCTGTAGAGCATCTACAGATGGACTATCCAAATAAAGTGTTACCCTGCATTAAAGTTGTTACTGCAGAGATTGTGTGTGTGTGTCACATTGACCTATATATTTCTATATCGTCAGTGAGCGGCCCTCCTATAGAAGATGGTTCCCTGTGTGTGTGGTGTGTCCCTGGCTGTGGTGGTGGTGGTGTTGCTGACCCTGGTGTCTCCTGGTGGTGCCTGCCCTATGCCCTGCTCTTGCTACCAGCCCACTGAACTACATTGCACCTTCAGGTCTTTGGTCAATATACCACAACCCCTACCGCAACACACACTGCACATCAACCTGGGGTAAGGCCTGCGCACAAATACATACACACACACACACACACACACACACACACACACACACACACACACACACACATTCCATTGGCTGATGCTGTTTCTCTCTGGGTACTGAAAGGTTCAACAGTATCAGCAGGATCCCAGACAGCTCATTGGCCGGTCTGAGGAGGCTGGCGCTGCTGATGCTTCATGGGAATGACATCCATGAGATTCCTGACGGAGCGTTCCAAGATCTGTCCTCCCTTCAGGTACTGAGGCTTAAAGAGTTGCCATGGAGAGGAGAGGGGTCAAATTAGCTAATAATTGGAAGCAAATGTCAATTGTTCTATTGAGCTTAGACACTGTTATTGTATTGTGTTGTTGTGTTCATTTGACTCACATTGATGTGTATGTATTGTTGTTTATAGCTGGAGGAGTTTATACCATGTATTTTCAATTACCATTAATTAATTACCATCCCTGTCGTCGTCCCCCCCCAGGTCCTGAAGCTGAGCTATAACAAGCTGAGGGAGATCTCAGCAAATAGCTTCTCAGGCCTGTCCTCTCTACAGCGCCTCCACCTGGATCACAACTGGCTGCAGTCCCTCCACCCCCAGGCCCTGCTCCGCCTCCCCAACCTCAGACTGATCCGGCTGCAGGGGAACCGGCTCCACCAGCTGCATCCTCAGACCTTCTGCACTCTGTCCCTGCTGAAGACATTCTGCTACTCCACCCTCAGGTGAGTTTTCTACAGTCTTAATTTATCAATTTATTCACTCTTAGTCATAGGTCACGCCTAAAGAGTAGTGCACTACTTAGAGAATAGGGTGTCATTTGTGACTGGACTATCCCCCTCCTCTCCCCAGGCATCTGGACGTGTCCAACAACAGTCTGACTAACCTGCCCAGAGACACACTGAGGACCGCCCCTCTTCTGGAGTCCCTAGCTCTGCAGGCCAACCCCTGGACCTGCGACTGCAGCATGGCTTGGCTGCAGGCCTGGAGCATCTCTCACCTAAGTGACTATCACACTACAATAACCCCTAACCTTACACTAGGTTATTGGGATGCTTATTTGGGTGAGGAAATACTGATTCTTCTCTTCTCTCTCAGGGTTGTTGAAATGTCCGGGGCCACAGTGCCTGGTCTGTGCCTCACCCAATCACCTGAAGGGACGTGGCCTTTTGCAGCAGAAAGACTTATCCTGCACCTCGCCTGTAATCGCCACCAATCCCAGAGCCTCATCTCAGGAGGATGGCGAAGTTCAATCAATAGAAACTTTTAGAGAGGCTTTAGGCCACGCCTCCCTGGGGATGTCCGACCAACAGGGGAATGCCGTTGATCTGAAGTGTAACATCACACACTCCTCACAGACTCCTGACATTACCCCACCACACCTTTCCTCCTCCTTCACCCCCCTCTCCATCACGCTCTCCCTCTCCCTGGACTGTGGGGTGGATGGGCACCGCTATGAAAGGCTGTGGAGGCTGATGGCCTACTACAGTGAGACGCCTGTCAGGCTTCAGAGAGAAATCATGTTGAGTAAAGCCCCAAGACTTGCCTACAGGTATGAAATTACAGAAACACACACAACACATTCCTGTGTTATTATCCTCTTTACCTGTACAATTTTGTTTTAACCCCAACACATTCATTTCATGTCCTTCAGGTACAGACAGAGAGCAGAGAGAGAGGGCTACTACCATACAGGGGTCAGGGCCAGTCTCCAAGCCCAGCCTGCCTGGTTACTGCAGCCCCATGTCAGTCTCCAGTTCAACAGAGCTCAGTCCAGCACCCACAGTGTTAAACTGACTCTGTCCACCCTGGTGTCTGCCCCCCCAGACCTCCCATCCCCACACCCCTGGGTCCTCATCCAGACCAACCACACCCACACAGCTTTTACAGCAGCCGCAGACAGCCAGATCCACCTGCCCTGCCCTGTCCTTAGCTCTACTGCAGACCTAAGCTCTGGAGATCCCAGGCTCCAATGGGTGTTCCCAGATGGTTCAACAGTCTCCTCCCCCTACCACAGCTCAGATGGTAAGGTCCGTGTGTCTGGCCAAGGGCTGATCCTGCAGAGAGTGGATCACTCTGATGCTGGACTGTACTACTGCGTGGCCCGGGCGGGAGGAAATGTCGATGTTCTCCCCCTTCGTCTGGTGGTAGTAGAATCATCCAACCCTCCCCCAGGGGAGGAGCTAGGCCCTGCTGTGACTGGATTGGTTGGAGACCCTGTCAGTCTGCCGTGCGAGGCCTCTGGTTCACCGAGGGTTGAGGTGAACTGGGTTCTTCCTGGCGGGGGAGTGGTAGGGAGTAGGAACAAGGGGAGAAGAAGGGGGGGGGGCAGGGGTGACTGTCTTAGCCAATGGTACCCTGTCTCTCCCCTTTCCTGGGCTGGGAGACGCAGGGCTATACCGGTGTGTAGCGGTGAACCAGCACGGTGCTGACTCTCTCTCCACCAGACTGATTCTAACCCCACGTCCTTCCGACACCTCATCACGCATGACATATCCCATGAGGCCACAGTCTGTGGCGGGGGTGTCCAACAGGTTACCAGCCCCTCTAGGGGGAAAGGAGGTTGAAGAGGGGGTGTCAGGAAATGACGAAGGGGAGGAGGAGAACATACTTCCCACCAGGGCAGGTTACACCAGGAGGAGAGGTCCTAGACCCAAATCCCCCCTGACACGGCGCCCCCCCATTGGATCCCACACAGTGAGGGTGGAGGGAGGCGGATCCCCTCAGAGGGGCAGGAGGCCCCTGAGGAGAGGCTTCCCTGTGGAGCAGAGGAGGAACAGGCTGGAGGGCCGCCGGAGGTTTAACCTGGCCAAACACAAGATAGACCCTCAGAAATGGGCCGACCTGCTGGCTAAGATACGTGAAAGGACTGCCCCTAAAATCACAGACTCCCTGTATGTACCATCCCCAACTAGAGCACTTACTACCACCTCAGCCCCAACTAGAGCAAAGACAACCACCTCAATCCCAACTGAAGCAAAGACAACCACCTCAACCCCAACTGAAGCAAAGGCAAACCACATCAACCCCAACTGAAGCAAAGACAACCACCCTAACCCCAACTGAAGCAAAGACAACCACCTCAACTCCAACTGAAGCAAAGACAACCACCTCAACCCCAACTGAAGCAAAGACAATCACCTCAACCCCAACTGAAGCAAAGACAACCACCTCAACCCCAACTGAAGCAAAGACAACCACATCAACCCCAACTAGAGCACAGTCAACCAGAATACAGACAGATAACAGACAGACAGAAAGCAATGAGACAACCAGAATGCAGACAACCAGAACAAAGCCAGGCAGCACACAACCAAAGACCACACAACCAAATACCACACAACCAACTACCACACTACCAATCACACAGACATGAAGAAACCCCAACGTATTGGAGTCAGAGGCTGATA